AATCAACTCTGTCCCAACAGAGTGAAATGTGCGTAGTGGAGAGCGTTGTTGTATACACATTTTTGTGATACTGAACTTAAATCCCTTCCTGTACTTACAGAACAAGTGTCAGAAAGCCAGGAGTCCAACTGTCAAAAGGATTACCGTCTAATCCTACAAACCTAAACATGCTTTTATTTATTGCATGTTCCAAAATATGCAGCTGGATGTTTTTGCCTGGAATTTTTTTTTAAAAAAATAAGATTGCTGCAATTATACAGCAAACTGCTTAATCCTGTCTGCGCAGCAGCCCAGCTCACTAGGGTGCCAATTCTCAGTTGTAAGCCCCCACTGGATAAATGATTACCAATTCTGAATGCTTATCATCATTTATCTATTTCTGCTGCCAGGACACAAAAATTTTGAAGCACCAATTCCCGATGGAAGATTCACTGTCCTATTAGGGAACCTTTGACAGTTGCTGGCTCAATAACCACTATTTAACTCAACAAGTCGGTTATTCCAGATATTTTAAAGAGATTGTTCCACACCAAATAAAGAATCAGATGCCTTTTTTTTTTTTGAACTGTAATTTTTAATCTTCTTGCAAAAAAAAAAAAAATTGCAAACAGGATTTAGTTTAGGAGCAATTTTGCACATTAACCTGTAGGAACAGTTCAGCAATTCCGTGTACATAAAGCTGTTATGGTTTAAACAAGGATAGGATTCTGTTTCATCCGAGGCAGAAGCCAGGCTGCACACCTAGAGATGAAGAAATGCTTTCAGACTTTCACATCCCGAGAGAAGTCGTGGAGATTTCCCGAAAGGTTTTTATTTTTTCCATTCGTTCTTCTCATAATCCCACTTGGAGCAAAGGCCCATAATGGGGTCCGGTTTCATATCCAGATGCTTCCGGAGCTCCATGGCTTTCCAATCCTCCGATAAAGTGTGGGGGACTGGTTTCAGAACTGCAATGGGAAGAGATCACGGTTGGAGACCATCGGAGTTAGCCAGCAACACCTAACCTCTCCCTCTCGCGAGCGATGGGCGTTGGGCCACGGCTTGCGCTCTCGAAAGAGGAAAGGCTGTTAAGGTTAATTCAGATTTGGATTCAAAATCCAGGGACCGCCTGTATCTGCATGCCCACCTACAGCCCCCTTAGCTCATCTCTCTTTACGGGTTTGGAAAGACAAAAGTGTGACTCCCAACCATTCAGTGGTCTGCAGGATTAAGGCAGATTAGCTAAGGGATGACAGTAACGGCTTCAATTTATTAAGATATGTGTATGTGTAAGTGTATGTCCTGTAAGTTTGGAGGTCTTTTAGCCCTTCCTTCCTTCCTTCCTTCCTTCCTTCCTTGCCTTCCTTCCTTCCTTCCTTCCCTCCCTCTTTCCTTTCCTCTCCTCTGATTTTTCTTCCTTCCTTTTTGTTTCTTTTGGATTTAATTTAAAAAGAAAAAAAGAGAGAAAGTCTTGGAGAGGGCCAGTATAGGAGTTCTCCTGGGCTCGAATGTTTAGTACCCCACCCCTCTTCCTATCCTTGTATTAGGAAGCCAAACAAAATGTGAAAAGCTATTTAAAAAGCCCCCCCCACCCCTCCCTTTTTCACTAGACAAAATCCTCCCACCAGCACAAACGTGGTGTGCGTGGGTGTACGCTGCATATTCTGCTCCCGTCCATTCCCCCGTGCTCATGTTTGAAGAACTCCCTAAAAAGGGGGGGGAAGACTCACCATACAGAACCTCCCAAATGAAAAATAAAGCCGCGAGGCCAATCAGGTAGCCAGCTAAACCGACCGCAGTCTTCCATTCTTTCGATGGCTTCAGCATTTCGGCAAATGTTTTGTCAAATTTGATGTGGTACACTGGAACGAGACGGGGAGAGAGAAGGAAAGACGGAAGGGACAAAAAATCCTTTTTTGTCCAATACAAAATATTTTTTTTAAAAAAAGAGGAGCCAGACCAACGCTCACAACTGAACACATTTATATACAGGTAGTCCTCAACTTATGACCGTTCAAAATTACAACAAAGCCGCCTGCCCCCCAAAGGGACTTATTGATCCAGTTCCCAAATTCTGACAGCTGTCCCACCCCTATGGTCACTTGATAGCAATTTGGGCACTTGACAAATGGCCCACATTTACAGCCCTTTATAGTGTCCCAAGATCACATAACTGGTTTCTGACATTCTTGCTGAAAACCAGGGTTTTCTTCCAAGTTTTTGTTAAAAACTCCCCATACATCACGTAACCACCGTTGCAAAAAAACCAAACACAAAAAAGGTCATAAAATTGAATTGGTCACACAATCATCAAGACTTAAAACTTTAACTGACAGACCCCACTACGGTCGTAATTCGAGGATGACCAGGCCAGTTACAAGTTTCTTTTGATTTCCTCTCTTGTAACAATCTCTGCCGTGTTACTCACGAGCAATCTTCTCCTCCGGGGTGAGGGAGGTCCAAGCCCCCTTCTCTTTTTCTTTCAGGGCTTTCTGCTCAGGGCTCAGGTCTTGTATAAATGGAATATCCGGCAAAGGAATCAGAGGGTAATCCTCATAGACGGGCTGAGTATAATGTGGCGCTTTTGTAACTTCTGTTGGCAAAATAAAAAATAAAATACAATGCCTTATTCTAATATATGACCTGGAAACTTCTAAGGACGTTAGCAAGGCAGGAATATAAAAACAGAAGAATAAGCACTCCAGTTTTCATTCTCCAAAAATTTGGCATGGCCCCAAAAATTCCTGTCTTTATTATTCCTTCAGAAGCTTATGAAGAATTCCTGAAAATTAGATTTGGATCCATCAGGCCACTATGATAGGAAAGACAACCGCAATGGCACTTATTTATATACCGCTTTATAATACTTTCCAGCCCTCTAAGCAGTTAACAGAGTCAGCCTTTTGCCCCCAACAATCTGGGCCCTCATTTTCCCGACCTGGGAAGGATGGAAGGCTGAGTCAACCTTGAGCCGGTGAGATTTGAACTGCCAAATTGCAGGCAGCCAGCAGTCAGCAGAATTAGCCTGCAATACTACATTCTATCCACTGCGCCACCACAGCTCTAGACAAAGGATAAAAGAGACTGACAAATGATAGTGTTGCAGGATCCAAACCGGCTCAGTCATCAGGACCAGAGTTTTAGTCTTCCAAGTTGGTAGAGAGAAGTTTCCTGAGGATGGGATCCAACACAAGTGTGAAGGCTCAGAAGACTAAACCTCTAGTCCTGGTGACCGACCCAGATTGGATCCTGATCAACTCAGCTGCGTATTTAACATCAAGTTCTCTAGGGAGATACAGGAACGGCCATTTTAATTTTAGAGAACTTTTATTATCTAAGGGCGTGACAAAAGAATTTAGACAGAGAATTTAGAGAACGATCGGAAAGGGAGTTTGCATTGCTAAATGAAAATGTGCTAGTCAAAAACTATTTTCAAGCTACCAGTTTATTCAATGGCTGGCTTACCATGCCCATGTGCTCTTACACAAACCGAAGTGGACAAAACCCGCCTGCCAATAAGGCTGAATGCCCTAGCAGCCAACATCCTAAAACAGAAAAGAAAACAAAAAGGCAGAACATTATGTAGCACAAATTATTAAGAATCCAGCACTTGCAATGTTCTTCCAAATGCCATTTCTTGTTTTTTCAGGTATCACAATTCTCTGTTTAGCAGATACCTCAAGGAATTTAATCTGCTTTGCAGGGGTATTTTCAAGATACAACCAATCCTAACCACCCTAAATCACAAATATGTCCAAAGAGTTTCATAAGTTGTGCTTCTTCACAAACACAGTCTGTGGGTGGGTCTGTGTGTTGTGTCTGCTTTGTGTCTGTGTTGCATGTGTTGTGTGTGTGTCTGTGTGCATGTGTGTGTTGTGGGTGGGTCTGTGTGTTATGTCTGCTTTGTGTCTGTGTTGCATGTGTTGTGTGTGTGTGGTGTCTGTGTGTCACCTATGTTGTGTGTGTGTGTCTGCGTTGGGTCATCTTGCACCTGTGTTGTGTGTATGTCTGTGTCTGTGGGTGAGTCTGTGTGTTGTGTGTGTGTGTCTGTGTTGTGTCGTGTTGCATCTGTGTTATGTGTGTATCTGTGTGTCTGTGGGTGGGTCTGTGTGTTGTGTCTGTGTTGCATGTGTGGTGTCTGTGTGTGTCTGTGTGTTGCACCTATGTTGTATGTGTGTGTTGTGCCGTCTTGCATCTGTGTTGTGTGTATGTGTGTGTCTGGGGGTAGTTCCCCCCCCCGAAAAAAGGGGCCGCCCTCCTTACTCGCGAGGAAGCTTATGGCCCCTCCTCCACCTCAACAGAGCGCCCTCAGCTGCGGACGATGGGAGTTGTAGAGCGGGACGCCCGGGAAAGCTGCTCCCCGCCCTCGGCCCGTCCCGCGTCACCCCGGGGCCCCCGCGCAGCCCCTTCGCGTCCCGCCCCGCGGGGGATCCTTCCCCCGCGGCCGCCTCCTCACCCGCCGGCCGGCCACCCACCCGAGACGGCCCGTGTCCTCTACAGCCGGAGATGGAGGACGGAAGGAGAGAACGGGAGACGCGGGGCAGGGCCGGCCGGAAGGGGGGGGGGGGAGCGAGGCACGACGGGATAGCGGCGGACTCAGTCAAGGGGGAGGGGGAGGAAAGGACCGGGTGCCATAGAGATACGGCGTGAAGAGCGGCCCGTTTCCACCCTTTAGGTGCGATGCTTGCTGAGGTGGGAAAGGGGTTGTTAGAGCAAGGACTCTTCATTGCTTATCTGGGTGCAACTCTCATAATTCCCAGTCCAGCATCATTATGCATTCGTCCCTCAAGTGATTGCATTTTCCCCAAAGTCTCCTTTACCCCTCTAGAACGCAGGGCTCCCCCTCTATGGTCGCGGGCGCTTTTTAATCTCCCCTGGAGACCATAGAGGCAGGCCAGAGTGGACGGTGCGCGCTCTCTCCCTTTAGCCTCATTACCCCTTTTCCCCATCATCTGCGCACGCGCGCGCGCCTCTCCCTTACGGCGCCCGAGGGGCGCTTTTTGGTTTTTGCGACGTTTTTGCGTCCTTTCTCCCGCCGCCCTCCCCCCGCTCGACGGCGGGCCTGGGCAGCCGCTGCCGTGCGAGGCCCGTGAGGAGGAGGAGGAGGAGGAAGAAGCGGCGGCGGCGGCGATGAAGCTGAGCACACAGGCCTACTGCAAGATGGTGCTGCATGGCGCCAAGTACCCGCACTGCGCCGTCAACGGGCTGCTGGTGGCCGAGAAGCAGCAGCAGCAGCAGCAGCAGCAGCCGGGTCAGCGGGGCCGGGAGCGGGAGCCGCCTCAGGCGCCGCCGCCGCCGACCCCCCACGCGCTGCTGGTGGACTGCATCCCGCTCTTCCACGGCAGCCTGGCCCTGGCGCCCATGCTGGAGGTGGCGCTCAGCCTGGTGAGGAGAGGGGGAGGGCGGGAGAGCCTCCCTGGCCCGGCGCAGGCTACCTGAAACGGCCAGGTGCCCTGCCTTGTTCCTCTGCGCCGTACGGTGTGTGTGTGTGTGTGTGTAATATACATCTATGTATCTATATGTATCTGTGTATGTGTGTATGTATATAATATGTGTGTATGTAATTGTGTGTATATATGTGTGTGTAATATATGTGTGTATGTATATAACATGTATGTGTGTGCGTATAGGGGTATATGAGTGATTATCTACCTATCCATTCATCCAATCATCTCTATCATCTACCTATCCATCTGTGCCTATCTTATCATCTCGATATCATTTCTCATCTATCTTTCTAGCTCATCTATATATATCTATCGTTTCCATATCGTCATCTATCTATATCATCAATCTATATCATCTATCTACCATGTTTCTCCAAAAATAAGACCCTGTCATTCATGTATGTATGTATGTATGTATGTATATATTTGTTTTCTTAAATTTTCGCAGGTACATGTATGGTATTCAGCTTTGTTCGGGTATTTTCCCACATCATTATAGTTGTGCTTTTAACGCTGTAGCAATGTTTCGGCAGAATCTCATCTGCCATCATCGGGCTTCTGTATTGTAGAAGTCGTCACAAGGTGAACACAACACAGAAGCCTGATGATGGCAGATGAGATTCTGCCGAAATGTTGCTACAACTTTAAAAGCACAACTGTAATGATGTGGGAAAATACCCGAACAAAGCAGAATACCATACATGTAAGTACCTGTGAAAACTTAAGAAAACATATATATATGCATGTATGTATGTATATGTATGTGTGTATATTTGTATATATATATGTAGATAGGTAGGTATGTAGGTCTTGGTGTGTTTGGGTCTTTTCCCATGTAAGATTAAGAGTATCTTGGCGACGTTTTGGCGAGGTCCTACTCACCATCCTCAGACTGGTGCTTGCGGCTTCGTGCCAGTGCAAGCAGACACGAAACATCTCCCTCCCTATCCCCCTCCCTGCTTGCACTGGCACAAAGCTGAAAGCACCAGCCTGAGGATGGCGAGTGGGACCTTGCCGAAACGTCGCCAAGATACTCTTAATCTTACATGGGAAAAGACCCGAACACACCTAGACCTACATACCTGTACCCATGAAAATCTATACACACACACACATGCCACCCCAAAAGGCACCAGGTCTTATTTTGGGGGGATGTCTTCCACTGACTAACCTCACTTGTGTGCATCACCCCCGGCCTCCTTTTTGCTGTCAGAGACCTTCGGGAACAACTTCTGCGGCTGGCAAGGCTTTCCTGAAGGCTTCTGCAGAAGATAACAGAGCTCCAGATTGATCTGGGGCTCTATTATCAGCTACAGAGGCCTTTAGGAAAGTCTTGCCAGCTGCAGAAGAAATGGGCCAGCCAGGCAGGTGTTGGGGTGTGTGAGGCCTGGCTACAACTGTCCAAAGGCAAGTAGTAGGGCAGCTCCACCCCCACCCCACCCCCACCCTAGCTTAATTTTTAACTGTCCACTCTGGAGTGGGTGGGATCTTAATTAAGGCTTATTTGGGGGGTAGGGCTTATATTGGGTGCACGTGTACAAATCAAGCTAGGACTTACTTTCAGGGTAGGCTGTATTTTCAGGGAAACAGGATATATCATCTATTTTTCTAGCTATCTACCGTATCTATGTACATTGTTGTCATGTTCATGTTGTGCATATTGGAGGTGGTGACCCCTTGGAGAGCTGCATGCAACGAAATTTCATTTTAATGTATGCTGATTTGTGTACAGCATTTGTTAATGAGGGGCTTGGTAGGGTGGAGTGGGAGCCTCCCCCAACGGGAACAGTCTATTCCCACTCCCCCAAGGAAAATACCAAGCAGTCCTTGACTTACAACCACAAGTGAGCCCAAAATGTCATTAAGTGAGTCAAGTGTTAAGCCGGTTGTTAAGTGGGGCTTCCCCCCATGGATTTCAGAAGGTCGCAAAAGAGGGAATCGCGTGACTCCAGGACCCTGGTATCTTGGCCAAGCCCCATGGACTTTCCAGAAGGGAGATTTGTAAGATGCTCCTGGGCTTCGTATGTTAGCTGTAGCTAGAAATATTTGGGAAATGACATTTTTCTGCCTGGAACTGAAAAGTCTCGCCGAAGACCCAAAAAAACTCCAGCCAACACCTTCCTATTAAACACTGTAGCTTTATCACCAAGCATTCAGACGTTATTTTGCCAGGCAAAGTGAAAATACCTGCAAAATCAGGCTTGCATTTGTACCTGGTGGGATTTGAAATACAGCTGCTGTCGAACCCGGACAGGGTCGCAAGGCTGCATACCAGCGAATCCAAGCAATTGAATTTGCGGGTTTCCAGCTGAATTGGGAACCGGTGAGAAGAGCGGAATCAATTAGTCAACCAGGCTGGATTGCTGAGGGGAGAGGGACTTAGGACAGATTGAGAAGACTTAATTAGAGATAGTGCCTTGCGTCTTAGAAGGTCAAGACACTGATCTATCTTTGGGGAACTTTTTGTCGCTGCTGTTCCCTCGGAGTAATTAGATGTGACAGCTTGATTTACAGATGGCCAGTAGAAATAATGAGAAGTGAAAAATGTGATTGACCTGGCTGGGCTGCCAGGCTTGGCTGCCCATCTGGCCACGCTCACAAAGCATGAGACCGTAATTCAACGGAGAAGAGTAATTTAGCAGGTGAAAGAGGGAGAATGGGGTAGTTTTCCACCAAGGGCCAGGTGCCGCCTTAACAAAATCTTACCTGCTTGCAGGCTGGTCCAGTAACGTGAACCAGAAATGGGAAATGGTCCCAGATTTGAAAACAGTGCAAGTAAGTCCTCGACTTACGACCACAATGGAGCCCAACGTTTCTGTTGCCGAGTGAAACATTTAGTGAATTTTGCCTCATTTTACAACCTTTCTTGCCACAGTTGTTCTGTGAATCTGGCTTCCCCCTGGACTTCACTTGCAGGAAGGTTGCAAAAGGTGATTACAAAAAGACCTCGACTATGTATCAGAATGGTCAATCAAATGGCAACTTCAAATCTCAACAAATAAATGCTCTGTCTTACATATTGGCAAAAAGAAATCAGAAAATAAAATACAGGCTGAACAGTCAAGACCTCGTTGATGATCCAAGCTCTGTAAAGGACCTTGGAATACTCATCTCAATTGATCTAAGTGCTAGGGCCCACTGTAACTCCATAGCCAAAAAGGCATTAAGAGTTGTTAACCTAATCCTTCGTAGCGTTTTCTCTGGTAATATCACACTACTAACTAGAGGATACAAAACATTTGCTAGACCAATACTTGAATACAGCTCATCAGTCTAGAACCCACATTACGTATCTGATATTAACACAGTTGAGAAAGTCCAGAAATATTTCACAAGAAGAGTTCTCCACTACTCATTGCAGAATACCTTATGCCACCAGACTTGAAATTCTAGACCCAGAAAATCTAGAACTACGCCGCCTTCGGCCCGATCTAAGTGTAGTATATAAAATCATACATTGCAATGTCCTACCAGTTAACGAATACTTCAGCTTCAACCATAACAACACAAGAGCAAACAATAGATACAAACTCAAGGTTAACCGCACCAAACTTGATTGCAGGAAAGACGACTTCAGCAACAGTGTGGTCAATATCTGGAATACTCTACCTGACTCTGTGGTTTCTTCCCCAAACCCCCAAAACTTTAACCTTAGACTGTCTACTATTGACCTCACCCCTTTCCTAAGAGGTCTGTATGGGGTGTGCACAAGCGCACCAATGTGCCTACCGTCCCTGTCCTATTGTTTCTTTTATATTTTTCTTGTATGTATCCATTTCATGTATTCATAACTATGTTTATACTTATACCTATTATCTTGTACGTGATTGACAAATCAAATAAATAAATAAATAGGAGTCAGTTGCCAAGGGTCCAAATTTTGATCACGTGACCACAACAGGGTCATAAATCACGTTTTTCAGTGCCGCCGTAAGTTTGAACGGTCACTCAGTCAACTGTTGTAAGTCAAGGACCACCTGCATAAGCCAAAGAGCCATCTAAAGAATATTGGCATGAAAACATTTTCTGTTTGTTTAGTTTTGACTTGCAAGATCTCAGCCTGCTGGCTATTCAAAACAGCAGTTTTAAGGCCTTATAAATAGTTACCATCGGGATGGCAGGTGGCTCCTTACTGGTGATACTAAGCGAGCGCTAAACAAAAGACACCCTCATCATTTCAATGGAAGAGGTTATTTGCAAAGCTCTTAGGCAGTTTAATTTGGGGCTAGAAACACAGTTGCTAAACAATGAGATTGATGTGTTTGGGAAATAGAAGGTCAGAATGCAAAATGTTTGGGAAACTGTTTTTTTTTCCCCATTTTTTTTTTTGAAAAATACAGCTGGAATATACATAATTGCTGGGTAGTTTTTCCCGCTTCCCCAAATCACTGGATTATCTTAATCAGATAATCTCATTACGAGAAGCAAATGTTAGTGGTTTCAAAGCTACCAAACAGGGCCAGAATCTGAGTTTGGATAAATGCATTCAGATCACATTGGGCCTCCTAACATTTAATTCTTTCTAAGTATTTTAATAAAGCTTTCTGGCAGATTAGATAATACGGTGCATTATGATAAAATAAAGAGGTTTTTTTTACAAAGGCTGACCGTAATTAAAGTGCCTTCTGGGAGGAAGGAGACATTATTTGAGCCTTATCGAGAGATCTTCGCTGTCAGGGCTTCCTTAAAGCCTGCAGTCCTGGCTGTTTGGGATGTGGGCCACTCGGGATGGAATTAATAAACCGCTTTATTCTCCTCCCCACCCCCCAAGTTCAGCCTGTGCTGACCCACCTCTCAATATTGTTGAAGGAATTGCAGATGGAAGGGGGGCGGGATGAATGATTCCTTTGTTCTTGCTTGGGCCATCTGTCTCTTTTCTCTTTGTCTTATTCCATTCCTCTCTTGGACCAGTTTTTTCCATTCATTTTCCATGGAAATGACCATTTTCCATGGTGGAAGAAGAAGGGGCCAATAGAAGAGAACATCGTAGCTCGGGGTTGAATTGGACAGGGTGTCCGTGGTGCTTTCTGAGCTTGGTGTTTTCTCGCAGACGTTTCATGACCGAACTAGGTAACGTCATCAGTGCACAGTGCAAGAAAGCCACCAAGCTCAGAGAGCATCAAGAGCCCACTGAAAAATGAGGGTTTCATTCATGGTTCAGCTTTACTTTTCCTCACAGTCCTTCTCTGATGTGCTGGATCACGGGGCCTTTTACGGATTGCTAACTTAAAGACACTGTGAGCAAAAATGGCAGACACGCTATTTGATCCCAGACCTCTCTATCCACTCCACTGGTAGCAAGACAGCAAGCAGAGGACAAGTGACATCCTACGGCATTCTTGGGAACATCAAAACCCCACGTTTGTTGCACCTTTCAGTACACTATATGTGTTTCCTTAGATCTACTGATTCAGAAAACACATTTGTGAAATCTGTGAGCTGTCTGACCACTGCAGTAGCTAATTATCATTAGCAAAACAAGAGTCATAATAGAATTTGTCGAGTCCTGCATAAGAAGCTTAACAAGATCATGTTTTGTCTACAGACCACACCTTTTCAGATATCTGGCTGGTGAAAACCAATTGCCAGTTGTATCATCGTCTCCTTTGTTCCAGCAGCTTACAGCACATTCTGATAATGGGTATCAAAACGATGTCAGGATGAAATAACTATCAAGAAAACAGGCATCGTGTTGCAATTTGAATAAAAATGCCTGCTGCAAACATCTGTTGTTTTAGTCTCTGCCTTGATTGTCTTTGGGTGCTTATAATTTTTTTTAAATCACCTTTTCAGATTGATTCTTGGTGCCGAGAGAACAGCTACGTAATAGCTGGCTACTACCAAGCAAATGAACGTGTGAAGGATGCCAGGTGTGTAGCTGGGTTTGTCTTCCTCACCTTGACTTAATTCGTCTTTTGCAGGACAATCCTTCCCGGTTTCTTCAGAGTTGTCCATGCTTTGTGTAACAGCAGTTAAGCAGTTGAAGAAACTGACTTGGGGCTCTGAAGCAAAGGTCTCCAAACTTGGCAACTTTAAGACTTGTGGAGCTTCAACTCCCAGAATTCCCCTGGAAGAATTCTCTGAGGAATTCTGGGAGTTGAAGTCCACAAGCCTTAAAGTTGCCAATTTTGGAGACCCCCTACTCTAAAAGAACAGTAAGAGGAGACTATAGAAAATCACTTGGCGTTCTTTTTAGTTTGGGTTGAGAATTATTCGTATCTACTGTCCAAGATAAATGTTTCCTCTGACATTATTTCTTCCTTCAGCTTTAACCGAAGCCGTCCTTTACTGGCTTTGTTGCATTCTGTCTGATAAATTCTCCTCTCTTTATTTTGCAGTCCAAACCTGCTCGCCGAAAAGGTCGCCTCCAGGATTGCAGAAAACTTCAGTGATACAGCCCTCATAATGGTAGGCGTTTCTTTCTTTCGTATTTATTTCGTGGTCAGTTCCTTCAGTGACTTGCTTCGAGAGTTATCTAACAACAGAAGGGATCGGCAACCATAAATTCAGGGCACAAATCTTACTATAATACATTTTAGGGAAAAAATTAAGGTTGATAACCCAAGACTCCTACCAAGGATTTTTACTTTCAATGTTGAAACAATTCAAAGCAGTTAAAGTCTCTTATTTATTTTACGCTCTTTTGATGTAAGAGGGAGGACGGTCATTTCTGCTGAGAATGGGCAGACTGTCCCTGAGAATTGTGTTTAGAATGCTTTAGTGTTCACATAATTCCGTTTTAATGCCTTGGTGTAGCGCAAGTACAGCCGTGTTTTTCTGTTCTGCGTCAGGTGGATAACACTAAATTTACAATGAAGTGCCTAAAACCAGCCGTTCATGTGTACGAACACCATGAAAACAAGTGGAGGTGCAGAGACCCACACATGTGAGTACTCTTAAAGTAAACTTTCCCGTCTGAGAAATGAGCGCCTCCCACGGCTCTCTTACTTGGTCTTTCCCTTCAAAGAGCACAACACCAAAAGGATGAGCGTTAAAACGACCACAGTCGCGACTGGAATTTCCATCGCTAAGTAAGGCAGTCGCTAAGTGAGTCGCGCACGTTTTACAAACTTTTTTTTTTTTGCTGTGACTGTTAAGCGGATCGCGTGGTTGTTAAACGGGTCCGGCTTCTCCATTTGTTGAAAGCTGCCCATGGCAATCCCATGACCCCCAGGATGCAGTAACCGTTGTAAATGTGAGGACTGGCCGTGTAAGTCACTTTTCCCAGCACCCCCGTTGTTACTTCGGACGTGGCTGCTCACCTTTTATTTCTCCCTTAGTGACTATTGCGAAGATTGGACAGAAGCCCAGAGGATCTCGGAATCCCTGCTGGACAGCCGGTCCTATGAAACCCTGGTGGATTTCGATAACCACCTAGATGACATTCGGAATGACTGGACAAACCCAGAGATTAACAAGGCTGTTTTGCATCTCTGCTGAGAAGATTCCCACCGACTTGACCTGCTGGGGTTTTCCCTGTGCCGAAGAAAGCAAAAAAGAGCATTAATTTCCAAATGTAAATAGAGAGAGGCGGTTGGTTCCTTCAGGTGAGTGAGGCCCTTTAGAAAAGGATGTGTTGCCATGCAGTCAAGTCTTTTTAATGAGAATCTTTGGGACACCCACCAAAATTGGAAGCCTTCTCTGCCCGTTGCCCGTCTTCTCCTGCTGATGCGTTCTCGTTACCCTCCAACTAGAGTCTTACTTGTTCCAAATCGTTTGTATTAAAAAAGTTTCGACTTAACTTTTCATATCCTTTAGAGATAAATTTTCTAAAAGAAAAAGGATGTATGGAATATCTCAAGAGAGCTAACAGCTAGTTTTATTTTTTAAAGAAGCTGCATCTAAATACTGAACTTTACCTGATCGGGTTAGTTTTGGAAACTTTATCCCAAAGGCTGATTTTTGGACATGGTTGCAGTTGATGGATACAGGATGCAGGGAGAAAACAACTTGAAGTAACTCCCCAGAGGCTGTCAAGTTTCTTTACTTATTCTGGGAATGTTGCCATTTTTTTCTGACTCTCGTCTGTTTGGGTCCCCTGTGAAGAGAACATGAATTCCCCTTCCATGAATTCAGTGTGAATGGAATAGACCAAACAGCCAGGAGAATTATAAATTCATGTTTTTGTTCACAGAAAGCCAACGTAAGTTCTCTTTATTCTTGTATCTGGGGGAAAAACGTAATTTCTTTGATGTTTAATTGCATAAACAGAGGAAGAGAAGTTACAGCCATGGATTTCAATTCCTGAACCAATTTTGATGGAGGTAGCCTCTAACCCAGGACCCTATTGTTGTGCTGTCAAATGACACTCCTGTCCTTTGCCAACTCTGTTTCGGGCCTCTGGTCTGATTAGTTATTCAGGTTTTCAGAGACCTGACTTTTCCAAGCTCAAGAAAGAATCACCAGCTACGATTCAGTGCAACGTTTAACCTTTGCACGCCAAGGAGAGAAGGACGCTCAACCCCCTTCAAAATCTGCACTCCAGTGTTTCGCTCTGGAAAACTTCCCCGTTCAGCCTTCCGCCGAGGTGCTGGTCCCCCTCCCTCCCATAGCACGCACACACCTTGATGGACACACCTCCTGTCACCTGTCTAGTGAAAGTAAGTGTTGAAGAGCACAACTGTTGATCGTTCAGCGCTGGCCTACCTGATTATTTTCCTGCGTTTTTTCTTGCAAGCAAACGTTACAGTGTCTTAGCAGTTGGGTTTCCTGTTGAGCTGTTTTGGATCCGGCTTGTAATATAATGGTTCTGTGGTGTAAAATGTAAAAGAGTCTTTAAAACAATGCAACCCTGTGTTACTTTGGGATTTTTTTTCCTCCTTCTTTTTTTTTTAAGGATAACTTTTAGCACGGATGGGTGAACCTTCCTTGTGTTGTATTTACATGTCTGATTTTTTTTTGTTTATTTGTTTGTTTGTTCCGCCCTGACTGATCCTGTATTAATGCAACCTTTTATTTATGGCGTATTCTATATCTCGAAAAGTAACAGGGCTTTTACGTTGCTTTCTTTCCTTCACCCCCTTGAAAATAAAGCTGATGAAACAAGCCTCGTTTGTAAGAAGATGTGATATTATTCTATTTGTTAGGCTAAAGTTGTCTTTTGCAGAGAACTGCGAGGCAGGGAGGGATTTTCCTGGCCGTTGAGATGGAGGTTCAGGCTGCGTTGCAAAGCAGAAGAGGGTTTTGTAATTAAATGTACCCTTACGTGCAGCGGCTGCTTTTAAAATCTGTACTCTCCGGATAGAGTGCTGGAATTGCCTAAACGCTGGCCCTTAGATATCTGGCTGAGTTTCCCTGCTTTCTCTGTAATGATCTGAAGACCTTTGGCAGTGCCAAACGATGAATGGACGGGTGTCTCTGAGGATATGTGGAAAATTTTATGGGTTAGGCTGTCAACCGAAAAACATCTCCGCTGGGCTTTAGCGTGATCGTCGGCTCGAAACAAAACGCTGACTTCTCCATCTTTATTCTCACGTCTGGTTATAAACTCTTCAAATTAGAACAACTAATAGAGAAGCCGAATACTTCAAACCCAGGCACAGAAGGTTAAAAAAGCAGGCGTGGGATTCTATGGGAGAACGTGTTTCAGAGTCCTGGCCTTTATATCTAATTTATTTGGACAACCATCAGCCACATTCTCTCTCTGATGGATTTCATATCTGCAGTGGGCACCCTATTCTGCAGATGGGCTAACTCGGACCAGGTTCTTGACACGGTAGAAAGTTAGCACCTGTCCCTCTCCCAGAAGAATGAAATATTGTAGGAAATATCGAAAAGACAAGAATATCCTACTTCCCTGGATGAGAATAGAGAAACGTGTCTTTAAAGCAGCTTCCTGCAGCTCCCTCCCCCGCCCCCAGCTCCAGGGTGATGGGATTAAGACATGGTCTTTAGGGCATGATAGGATTAGCCTTCTACCCATCTCACTACATGGCACCTGGGAAGATTACATCACCCAGCAGGATTCAACCAAATTTAGCATACATGCAACCTACAAAGCTAGCTAGGACCCCTGACAGCATGCAGTCAGGATATTCTTCCTGTGCCCCAGGAAGTTCACAGCCTAGAGAGGGCATAAAACCCAGGGGCTCTCAGCATCTCTTCCCGTTTCTCTTTGGACCTCCAAGACATGGGGTCCTCTCCACCATTAAACCGTCTTCCCAAACGGCCTCCATGTTTCCAGTGTCTTTTTTCCCCCACTCGGAACTGAACCCAGAAGGATATTTCTTCCAACAATACTGTGACCAATTCAAGTGCCACTCCTTGAGACAGTCCCACAGCTCGCCACCAGTTTAAACTTCAGCCTGGTTCGATCTGCACGCAAGGGACCGCCGATTTCAGGGGGCTTGCACGCTTGATAGGACACACTACTTCAAAGTGCTGGCTGCGTGCTTACTCACAATCCTAGGGAGAGAAGAGAGGTGGAATTCCTTTTCAGAGAAGCTCTTTGGGTGCCTGCCTCGAAAGATCGCCCAGAAATGCCCTGTGAACCCATCGCTCCAAGCTCGTCCTTCAGATGGTTCCCGATTGGCAGGTTTCATTGGTGGGCTAAGCATCCCCACAGGGAACATCGCACGAGCATCCTTGTTGTGTGTGGTGGTGCCTGGTCAGCAGTTCCTTTGCAGGTCTAGGCTGATGACGGATTGCAAGCTCAGAGCTGGACGTGCTTCTCGGTGAACCTTCTTGCTCTTTTAATTAAAAAGAAACAAGAAAACCTCGCTGGGAATGTGAGGCGTGAGGTTTTAATGTATCGCCTGTGTTGTAAGAAGCAACTGGCCAAAAAGCCATTTTTTATTTTGGGCCTCCAGGCTGAGCTCCTAAAAATGGAAATTACAAATTTATATATATAAATTTGTATTTTCCCACTCCTTATTTGACATACGATTGGGGTCACTCGTGGCACGGGGATGGGTTGCTGCCGGCTTAACACTACGAGCAGAACTGGGGATTGTGAACTGTGGGTGGCCACAGGGAGTTTGGGTGATTCCACAGCTCCTAGTTGAAGAGGCAGAAGATGTCCAAGACTGGAGCAACCTCAGAGGGAGCTTTTGATAGGAGCTTTGATTAACTCTTTCACTCTGGCCAGGGTGGGGTCAAAGGATCTCCTTTGAGTCAACATTCGGGGTCTTCACGGGCACCTATCCTTGCCTGTTGGGGGGGGGGGGGGGATTCTGGGAGTTGGAGTCTACAAGTCTTAAAGGAGCCAAGATTGGACGCTTTAAACCTTGCCTCGCTGAGCCTTCCTGCAGAGAGCCGCCCAAGCTGGCATGGCACCAAGAGGGCAGGTCTCCTGCAGGCTTCTGGCATAAATCTGGTGGGGGGGGGGGGGGCGTCTTTGTTCATCTTCCGTCGGGAAAATCCCCCCCCCCCCCTTCTAATCCTGGGAGGTGGTAGGTAGCCTGCAACCCAAAACTGTCGGAGAAGGGCAGCCGGCGTTGTAAGGGGGCTTGCACCAGCCCTAGGAGCAGATTCCCTTGGACTCTCCGCCTTCTCGGAAAGCGCCGGTTCCTCGCAGCTGCTGGCTCTTCGCACGAACCCGCCCACCTACCCACTCAAAGGGGGCTTCCCTGCGAAGCGCCTCTCGCCCTGGAGCGAGGATGGAGGCGGAGGGACGAAGGGCGGAGCGGCGGGGAGGGAAGCCGCGCACGTGCAGGGTGGGGGGGTCGGACCACCC